TTTTTTTGAGACAGAGTCTCGCTCTGTCGCTCAGGCTGGAGTGCAGTGGCACAATCTTGCTCTTTGCAACCTCTGCCTCCCACCTCAGCCTCCCGAGTAACTGGGATTACAGGTGCCTGCCAGCATACCTGGCTAATTTTTGTATTTTTGGTACAGACAGTGTTGTACCATGTTGGCCAGGCTGGTCTCGAACTCCTGACCTCTTGAACTGGGTTCAAGCGATTCTTCTGCCTCAGCCTCCTGAGTAGCTGGGATTACAGGTGTGCACCACCATGCCTGGCTAATTTTTGTATTTTTAATAGAGACAGGTTTCATCATGTTGATCAGGCTGCTCTCAAACTCCTGACCTCGCGATCCACCTGCCTGCCTCAGCCTCCCAAAGTGTTGGGATTACAGGTGTAAGCCACAGTGCCCAGCTGGAAATGTTTTCTAAATAAAAAAATAGAACATGCTGGTTTAAGGTTGTGAATTACAGGTTTAGATTGGAACCATGAAGAATTGGGAGATTTGATTTCAGATCTCATTAGGATAAGGCCTGGTCTCTTTTGAGTGGGAGGGTAGGGACCCTGTCTGCCATAGATCCCGGGGGCCTAGAACAGCTCCTGGCACTGGGTAAGGTACCAATGAGTACCTGCTGTCTAGATGGGATGGGCCCAGAGGGAAAGAAGCCAGCAAGCAGGACCAGAGAGGTTAGGATATATAGTATAGGGGAACTGGCCTGAAGTCTCAGCTTCATAATTCTTTTTTTTTTTCCCCATTTATTTATTTTATTGCATTTTAGGTTTTGGGGTACATGTGAAGAACATGCAAAATTGTTGCACAGGTACACACGTGGCAGTGTGATTTGCTGCCTTCCTCCCCATCACCTACATCTGGCATTTCTCCCCTTGCTCTCTCTCCCCAGCTCCCCACCCCGGCTTTTTGTTTTTTTGAGACGGACTTTCACTCCGTCGCCCAGGCTGGAGTGCAATGGCAGGATCTCTGCTCACTGCAACCTCCACTTTCCAGGCTCAAGAAATTCTCCTGCCTCAGCCTCCCAAGTAGCTGAGATTACAGGCGTGTACCACCATGCCTGGCTAATTTTGTATTTTTAGTAGAGATGGGGTTTCATCATGTTGGTCAGGCTGGTCTCCAACTCCTGACCTCAGGTGATTCACCTGCCTTGGCCTCCCAAAGTGCTGGGGTTACAGGCATGAGCCACCACAGCTGGAGGTAATTCTCAATCCTGAAATCTATCAGCTCACAAAGAAGGGATTGGCAGAGTCAGAATGGATCTGAAGCAGCACAGCAGAAATAAAAACAGAGCTAGGGACACAATCTAGGGAACGGTGGTGAGTAAAAGGGTGGAGGACGGTTGTCAAAAAGGGAGATTTTCCGTTTACTTGAAATTTGCAGAGTAGATCTGTGTCCTCATCAAAGGTGAGCACGTGGGCACACGAACAAAGGGTAACTGTGTGATGATGGACACATCAATTAATTTGATTGTGGTAATGATTTCACAGTATACCCCATATCAAACCATCACATTGCATACCTTAAATATATGCAATTCTGGGGGACAGTTATGCCCAATAAAGCCTAAAAAAAAAAAGGGAAAACGAAGCTCACTGAGGTGACCTGTCTACAGAAGCAAGATTGGGAGTGAGCATCACGAGCCCTAGTTTGCCTGTTGTGTAGGGTCAGATGTTTAAGTTAAGAGTCTCTAAAAAAAAAAAAAAAAAAGAGTCTCTGAAAGAGGTGGATCTGGAGCTCCTGGGGGGAGCATTTGGCATTTCCTAGTAAGAAAGAGAAAAAAAAAAAAAGTGGTCTTTAAGTCAGGAATGCTGGTGGCTTCATAGCTGTCTGGGATCCTTGTGGTAAGGCAAGGGGCTCCTGCTGGCACCTTTAGCCTGGCTGATGAGCTGAGAAGACGGTGGCCCCAGAAGCCCCTCTGGACCTTAGCACCTGTCTCCACCAAATTGGAGGAGGCAGGACAAGCCATGTCTGACTGCCCCTCCAAGCACTGGCTTAGACAGCAGCGGGTGATGGGGAAGAGCCTGCCTGCCCCCATCCCCCCTCCCTGGGAGCCAGCAGCCCTCAGGAGCACGGGCAGGGGGTACTGAGCTCCTCAACCCGACTCTCTTCCCTATCCCAAGAAGCCCTTTGAAAGGTTTTCCTGGCAGAGTTTAAAGCTTCAATTCATTCAACCACCTGGCATGAGGCCCAGGATGAGGGGATGCTGGGAAGGGCCTAGCCCCACACCCTTACCCTTACCTTAGCTGCCCCCACTTTCCCGGGACCCTGGCTGGCAGGCCTCCCACTGGCCTCTCTCCATCCAGTAGCACGCACCCCCATTCCCTTTGGAACCCAGGTATCCTTTCTAGAGGAGCAGATGGCCACCCTGGAGACTCAGCCTTGCTAAATCAGACATTTAAATCCTGTAATCCTTGGTGAGAGGCTGCCGAGGGGGCAGCAGCCCAATCCTAGAAGCAGGGGAGGGAGAGGACCTTGTGCCAGCCCCAGCAGGAGGGGAGGAGGGACAGTTGGTTCCTGAGTTATGAATGGAGTCACCCCCCCGCCTTGTTGTCATGCAGCCCACAGACTGACCCAGTCTCCTGCCTTTGTTCCCCTCCCGGAACCCGGGCATCGGCCCCCCACCAGCCCACACTCCTTGCAGACTCAGGTGGCTGCTTCCCAGCTTCACCTCCTCACTCACCCCTGCACCTGCTGACCCCCACAGCCTGCACTGGCATTTACCCCTCAGACACACAGGTGGCAACAAAGTTTTATTGCAAAATAAGAAATCGATATAAAAATGGGATATAAAAAGGGAAGGGGGGAAGGGGTGGGGTGAAAATGCAGATGTGCTTGCAGAACGTAAAAGACATTGACCCTTCCAGCTGGACACGGTGGCTCACACTTGTAATCCCAGCACTCTGGGAGGCCGAGGCAGGCAGATCGCTTGAGCCCAGGAGTTTGAGACCAGCCTGGCCAACATTTCGAGACTCCATTTCTACAAAACATGTAAAAATTAGCCAGCTGTGGTGGCATGAGCCTGTGGTCCCAGCTACTTGAAAGGCTGAAGCAGAAGAATTGCTTGAGCCGGGGAGGTGAAGGCTGTGGTGAGCCAAGATCACCACTGCTCTCCAGCCTGGGCAACAGAGCAAGACCCCGTCCCAAAGAAAAAAGAAAAGAAATTGACCCTGAGCATAAAACAAGTCTTGGTGGATCCAGATCATCATATACAAGAAATGAAATCTCCAGGGTGTGGGATGGGCTGAGATTTCCCTTTAGGTGCTAAGGTTCACCAAGAGGTTGTCAGAGAGGATTTGGCCAGGCAAGCAGAGACTTGGCAACGCCCTCTACCTAATCAGCTGCCCAAATGTAGGAACTACCAGCCACTGACCAACAGGGACAGGGAACAAGCACCCTCAAGGGGATCAAGTTCAAGACCCCATGTAATAAAAAACGGTTTCACGGCCAGACATACATTATTTCATTCACCCTCACAACATACTCTGTGAGGTAGGTCCAAAGGCCAGCATTTCATAGTTATGGACCTTGAAGTTAGAGGAAATGAGAGTGTGGGACAGCATCCCTGGTTAGTACAGTGAAGAAGTGGGCCCCTGCCTAGTGTGTGGTTGATTGTGAACTAACCCTTACCTGCAAGAACAATTCTTACATCTCCCAAACATCCCTCACAGTAAAAACCTTAAAATTGAAGCTGGTATGTCCTAACCCCCATCCTCCTCCCCACAACAAAACACAAATGCAGGCCAGCTTCCTCAGTCGGGCTCCGGGACAAAGCAAACCAAAGTCCTGGGTGTTTCTGATGCACACCTATCGCAAGCAAGGGTTCAAAGATCCAAAACCCAAAATGGTAGGGGAGGGAGAGATGGGGTGGGAGGCTGTCAGTGGGGAACAAGAAGCGAAGAATGTCAGTCTGAGTCAGGTCCCTCTCTCTTGACCATTAGTTTTTTATGGCGGGAGGTACACTGCCCCTTCTTGGACTTCAGGTGGCTGTAGGAGACAGAAGCAGGGAGGAGGAGAGATGACATCACATGAGTGAGAAGTTCTGTGCCCCTTTTCCCTGACCAAGGCTTTGAAGGGCCTAAGGCTGGTACGAGGGGAATTCGAGCCACGCCACATGCAAATGTTTACTTTTACTGAGCACCTCAGAGTGTACTGTCATCTTCCCTTACCACATTTTTTTTTTTTTTGAGATGGGTCTTCCTCTGTTGCCAGGCTAGAATGCAGTGGCACGATCTCAGCTCACCGCAACCTCTGCCTCCTGGATTCAAGCAATTCTCCTGCCTCAGCCTCCCAAGTAGCTAGGACTACAGGCGTGTGCCACCACGCCCAGCTAATTTTTGTTTTTTTAGTAGAGACGGGGTTTTACCACGTTGGCCAGGATGGTCTCGATCTCCTGGCCTCGTAATCCGCCCGCCTTGGCCTCCCAAAGTGCTAGGATTACAGGCATGAGTTACTGCACCCGGCCAAGAATGTGGTTATGAATCAACTGGAGGAAGACTAAAAAAAATGTTTGTGCCAGGCTGGGACCCAATGAGATAGGATCAGCTGCCTTTTACCATAAAGGCAGGATGAGGATGGAATCCTATGGCTTTGTAACATAGGAAGGCAGGAGAGTGGGGCCAGGAAGGGGCTGCAGTCACTTACCTGGAGTGGGCCCTGCTCCCCCCTGGCTCCTTCCCAGCCTGGGCATCCTTGAGCTCCAAGGCCTCATTCAGCTCTCGGAACATCTCAAAGCGCTCACGTCCACGGATCTGCAGCAAGAGAGGAGGGGGAGAAATACCTATACACAGTAACTGAGTTAAGATAGTTCAACTTACAATTTTTTTGACTTGATAGCACAAAAGCAACACGCATTTAGTAGAAACTGTACTTCAAGTAACCATACAACTGACTTTTTAAAAAATTCAATTTTTTTTGAGACAGAGTCTCGCACTGTTGCCCAGGCTGGAGTGTAGTGGTGTGATCTCGGCTCACTGCCATCTCTGCCTCCCGGGTTCAAGTGATTCTTGTGCCTCAACCTCCCGAGTAGCTGAGACTACAGGCATACGCCACCACACTCGGCTAATTTTTGTGTTTTAGTAGAGACAGAGTTTCACCATGTTAGACAGACTGGTTTCGAACTCCTCACATCAGGTGATCCACCCAACTCCGCCTCCCAAAGTTCTGGGATTACAGGCGTAAGCCACTGTGCCTGGCCCTTTTTTAAATTTTAGAGATGATGTCTTACTATGTTGTCCAGGCTGGACTCAAAGTCCTGGGATCAAGTGATCTTCCTGCCTTAGCCTCTCAAGTAGCTGCGACTACAGAAGCATGTGACTGTGCCTCATTTAGTTTCTTTTTTTTAAAAAAAAGATGGAGTTTCACCATGATGGCCAGGCTGGTTTTGAACTCCTGACCTCAGGTGATCCACCCACCTCGGCCTCCCAAAGTGCTAGGATTACAGGCGTGAGCTACCACACCTGCCCCCCCCCCTTTTTTTTTAGACAGAGTCTCAGTCAGTCACCCAGGCTGGAGTGCAATGGCGTGACCTCAGCTCACTGGAATCTCAGCCTCCCGGGTTCAAGTGATTCTCCTGCCTCAGCCTCCTGAGTAGCTGGGACTACAGGCACACACCACCATGCCCAGCTACTTTTTTATATTTTTAGTAGAGACAGGTTTTACCATGTTGGCCAGGCTGGTCTTGAACTGCTGATTTCAGGTGATCTGCCTGCCTCGGCCTCCCAAAGTGCTGAAATTACAGGCGCGAGCCACCACGCCTAGCCTTTTCTTTTTTTTGAGTCTTGCTGTGCCCAGGCTGTACCCAGCCTGACTGTGCCTCCTTTCATGTAACCACGGTTTCCTACTTTCCGTACAATATTCAATAAATCACATGAGATATACAACACTTTATTACAATAAAACAGGCTTTGTGTTAGATGACTTTGCCCAACTGTAGGGTAACTTAAATGTTCTGAGCACGTTTAAAGTAGGCTAGGGCTGAGTGTGGTAGCTCATGCCTGTAATCCCAATACTTGGGGAGGCTGAGGTGGAAGGATTGATTGAGCCCAGGGGTTTGATACCAGCATGGACAACATAGCAAGACCTCGACTTCATAGAAAATAAAAAAATTAGCCAGGTGTGGTGGCGTGTGCCTGTAGTCCTAGCTACTTGGCAGGCTCAAATTACCTGAGCCTGGGGAAGTCAAGGCTGCAGTGAGCTGAGACTGTGCCACTTCACTCTATCCTGAGCAACAGAGCGAGACTGTCTGAAAAATAAATAAATAAATAAATAAATAATAAATAAATAAAATAAATACAAAATAAAAATTAGCCAGGCATGGTAGTGTGGGCCTGTAGATCCGGCGACTTGGGAGGCTGAGCTGGGAGGAGCTCTAAGCCTGGGAGGTGGAGGCTGCAGTGAGGTACGACTGCACTACGACTGCATTCTATCCAGCCTGGGTGACAGAGCAAGACCTTGTCTCAAAAAAGTAGGCTAGAGACCAGCCTGGGCAACATAGTGAGACCCTATCTCTACAAAAAATTTAAAAAATTAGCTGGGTGTGGTGCCATATACTAGTGGTCCTAGCTATTAGGGAGACAGAGGTGAGAGGATTGCTTAAGCCCAGGAATTCAAGGGTGTAATGAGCTATGATCATGTCACTGTAATCCAGCCTGGGTAACAGAACAAGATGCTGTCTCCATTAAAAATAAAAGTAGGCCAGGCTAAGCTATGATGTTCCTTTTAGGTTAGGTATATCAAATCCATTTTCAACTTACAATATTTTCAACTTACAATGAGTTTATCAGGAAGTAACACCATCGTAAGTCAAGTAGCATCTGTATCAGGCAAAGTCATAGAATCATTTTCACGCTTTCTTTAACAATTTTCTTTTTGAAAGGTGGTCTGGTCCTTTAAAATATATATTATGGTATAAGTTGGTGTTCTGAAGTTAGTTAGGTACAACCAGGAGCCATTGTCTTTGAGGCATCATTGCCCCCTGGTGGCAAATGCCCCAATTGCAGGCAAAGCAGTCAAGAAGAAAATGACATTTTGAGTGTTAGACTGGAAACTTTCAACCTGATAAGCGGTCTCAAGACTTGGTACCTGAAGGGTGAAATATTCTCCATCCAGTGGCTTCTTCTTTGGCTGGGGAGAGGAGCTGGTGCTGTTGGGCATTGCTGGGAAAGAGGCAAGAAAAGGTGATAAAAGAGTGAATCCTGGGCAGGACTGCACCCTTGGTCTCCTCCACCACCTCTTGTCCTGCTGACATACCTCGCTTAGTGCTCCCAGGGGGCAGATCAAGACAAGGCTCCCCTTTCTTGCGGAAATTCTCTTCCTCTGTGCGCCGGTCTCTCCCAGGACAGGCACAAACGCGCACCTCAAAGCTGTTCCGTCCCAGCAGATTACCACTACTCCGGATAGGAAGAGAGAAGCAGGAGGCAATAAAGAAATCAGGTCCTACCTGTCCTGTTGAAAAAAGCAGGCTCCATCTACTCCCAACCACCCTTGTCCTTTCTGGAGCCTAAGCTCCAGCTCCAGGTAGGTGGAGGAGAAACCACAGGTAAGAGAGGTCCCCAAGTGAGAGAAAAGCAAACAGAGTGGGAGCAGTAAGGAGACTCCCCTCTGGGGATGTGATGAGAGGAGGATGGGTAGTAGTATGGAAGAAATCAGTAAGAAGTGGGTCCAGGGGTCAGAGGCAGGCAGAGGCTGGGGAGGAGTAGGCCAGTGTGCAGGGCAGCATGTGGCTCCCGACCTGGAGTCTTCCAGCGTGATGATGGTGAGGATGGGCCTCCGGTTCATGCCGCCCATGCAGGAACTGTTACACATGTAGTTGTAGTGAATGGTGGTACAATCAGAGCCGACCTGGGAGAGAACGTAGGCCCAAGGTGAGGCCAGTGGGTCTTGGGGAGACGTGTGGCAAACAGGGGACGACTTTAGCCTCTGTAAGCTTCAGTTTTTTCAACTGTGCAAGGGGTAGACCCATTTACTCTGCACATCTTGTGGAATTATGGGGAGGTCAAATAAGCAGGAGAAATCCCCCCTACTGATCACCTGGGTAGCCAAAGACAACCACCCTTACCCCCTCCTCCCAGAGACCCCAGTTGTCAAACCAGACCTCAGGCGGCTCATAGGGCACCACCACACTATGTCGAAAAGTGTTTTTGTCATCCAAATATTCCACATGTAAATTTCCTTCCACTCGGATAAGATGCTGAGGAGGGGCCAGACCTAAAAGCAATCAGTGAGGAGTCAGAGGGCTGGGGACCCTGGGCAGCCAGCCCCATCCGCTCTCCAGCCCCAACTGCTCACCATCGCTATCTGAGCAGCGCTCATGGTGGGGGCAGCGCCTCACGACCTCCGTCATGTGCTGTGACTGCTTGTAGATGGCCATGGCGCGGACGCGGGTGCCACGCGGGGGTGTGGAATCGACCCACAGCTGCACGGGGCAGGTCTTGGCCAGCTGGCAAAACATCTTGTTGAGGTCAGGGGAGTACTGTAGGAAGGAGAGAGAGTGGAAGGTCAGGGCACAAGTGAACAAACAAAGCAGCTGGAAGAGGGCAGCAGAGAAACAAATATGCGTAAGCACCTCCTGCAAACCACTAGGGAGCTAGAGAGGGTTGGCGGCTATACCTCAGGAGCTTATTTCTTTTGGGGATCGGGTCTTGCTCTGTCACCCAGGCTGGAGCACAGTGGTGTGATCATAGCTCACTGCAGCCTCCACCTCCCGGGCTCAAGCGATCTTCCCACCTCAGTCACCTGAGTGGCTGGGACTACAGGTGTATACCATCATGCCTGGCTAATTTTATATATGTATATTTTGAGATGGAGTCTCGCTCTGTCACCCAGGCTAGAGTGCAATGGCCTGCACTTGGCTCTCTGCAACCTCCCGGGTTCAAGCGATTCTCCTGCCTCAACCTCCCGAGTAGCTGGGATTACAGGTGTCTGCCACCACGCCCAGTTAATTTTTTTATTTTTAGTAGAGAAGGAGTTTCGGCATATTAGCCAGGTTGGCTCGCACTCCTGACCTCATGATCCGCCCGCCTTGGCCTCCCAAAGTGCTGGGATCACAGGCGTGAGCCACTGCACCCAACCAAGTTTTTTTGTAGAGACAGGGTTTCACTATGTTACCCAGGCTGGTCTTGCACTCCTGGGCTCAGGTGATTTGCCTGCCTTGGCGTCTCAAAGTCCTGGGATTACCGGAGTGAGCCACCGAGCCTGGTCAGGAGCTTATTTTCAAAAGCCAAGGAATGAATGTGGGTGAAGAAAAAGAAGTTCTGTATCTCCAGGTGAGATGCTGTGGGTGTGATGGGATGGATACAAGTTCAAAATCAAGGGGGAGAAATTCAACTTTGAAACAGGGGTCAGAGATCACAGATTAAATGGGTAAGCCGTGAAAAACACTGACAGGAAGCCAAAGGGTGAAGAGGAATCCCAAAGTTCCAAACAGAAGAAATGCAGGGGAATATGGCCAGGCATTGGAGTCTCATGGAAGCCAGCCCTCAGGGCCACTGACCGTGCAAGTCACAGACTTGGCTGTCCCAGAATGCAAGAAGCCCAGACGGAAACCGTAGTCACCACGGTAGGTTTTCTGGGAAGGGACAGAGGATGACAGGGGCCAGGAGGGGGCTGGTGTGGGGGCTGCTGATGTAGGAGCTGCCGGAGCCTGGGCCACGGTCGGAGGAGCCTCTGATACTGTGGAATCTTCATCTGGAACCGGGTCTTGACTGAACCATTGTGCAATGTCAATGTCATCCGGTGATAGCATCAAGTCATCCACCGGTTGGGACAGCGAGGGGGACTGCAGATGAGTGAAAAGAGCAGTCAGAGGACCAGGTACCCACCCAGCCCCACAGCCCGCCAGGTCCCCAGCCCAACCCTTGTCCTTACCAGAATGTTGTTTTCAGGAAGTCTGAAAGACAAGAGCAGAGAGTCAGTGGATTTTTTTTTGCTTCCCACAGGTCTCTGCTAGGGGGCTGGGGTTGGGGTGGGGATGGTGGGCCTGCCCTTCTCATGGATCCACTCACAGTTTCCATAGGTCTGAAAATGTTTCCTGACTCAGTGGGGGCTCGATGCTGAGATCTGAGTGTGGCTCCTCCATGGCACTGACCCCGAAGGCAGTCTGGCTGCTGCAAGGGGAAAAGTGGGGATCTAGCATTAATTACTTCCAACTCTGGGTCACCTGGGCCTACGGAGAAGGAAACCCCTTCCCTCAACACTATGCCAGGGTCTGAAACAGCACGGCTTCCCGAGGGGCAGGAACAGAACGGCTGCCTCATATCCTCTCTTCCAATCTTTCACCACAACCCAGGCATTCCTGTCCCACTCCCATCCTTCCCTACCTGACACATGGCTCTATTTCTTTGATCCCTTTCATTGCAAGGCTTCTGGAAGAACAACCGTTTCACCTCTCACCTGTCCATTCTCTTGGGACACTCCTCAGCCCAGCATTACAAACCCCTCAGGAGCAGCCGCTCCTTCTCGCTTCTATAATCTCATCTCTTACCAACCACTCACTCTTCCCCAGAAGCTCTAGCTAGACTGGCTGCCCTTCCCTGCTAATCAACTGGTGGTTCCCTCCGTAGGGAACACTCTATTCCCGACCTGGGGGTAGGCTCTTGCCCCAAGGCTTCATCAACTCATCCTATTTTAATTCACATCACCCTTTTTGCATTCTTATAGCACTTACACTGCCTGATACTTTTCCTTGTTTATTTCATGTTTCCTCTAAAAGCATATACATTTCCTAAGGGCAGGGCAGTGATCTATCCTGTTGTCTTGTTGACAAAAGCATTACAGCACAATGCCTTGCACCTGCTTGGACTCAATAAATGTGGTGAATAGCACACGTGCCTGTTCTGAGCGGTCAAGGGTGCAAGAAGGAACCAGGGGCAGCAACTTGCACGGTTACGCAACTATCATCTCACCTTCTCCCAGACAAGCTTTCAAAGGTTTCACCATGTTTCTTTTTTTTTTTTTTGAGGCAGGGTCTTGCTCTGTTGCCTAGGCTAGCTAGGGTGCAGTGGTACAATCGTGGCTCACTGCAGCCTCGGCTTCCTGGGCTCAGTGATTGTCCCACCTCAGCCTCCCGAGTAGCTGGGAACACACAGGCAGGCGCCACTATGCCTGGCTAATTTTTTAGTTTTTTTGTTGGAGAGGCAGGGTCTCACTATGTTGCCCATGCTGGATGCTCTCTTTCTGCCAAATTTGTCATCAAAACATGCCTAATGTAAGCGTTCGTTACACTTTTCTGTCTTGAACTGACAAAACATCCCCCTACCAAAAGACTCCTTTAAGGGCAGGTTCTTTTTTCTTTTCTTTGAGACAAAGTTTTGGCTCTGGTTGCCCAGGCTGGAGTGCAGTGGCGCAATCTTAGCTCACTGAGAACTTCACCTCTTGAATTCAAGCGATTCTCCTGCCTCTGCCTCCCAAGTAGCTGGGATTACCCAACCACCACACCCTCTATTTTTAGTAGAGACAAGGTTTCACCATGTTGGTCAGGCTGGTCTTGAACTCCAGACCTCAGGTGATCCGCCCACTTCAGCCTCCTAAAGTGCTGGGATTACAGGCGTGAGCCACCGCACCTGGCCTAGTTCCCTGTGTATTATGGGAAATGTAAAGAGCTGAGGAAAGTGCTGGGCACACACTAAGAGCTCAACAAAGGTTAGCTGTTTGTGCAATTTTTCTATTTTATTTGTTCTATATTATTATTCTAGAGAACTGTGTGATTGTTAGTGTGGATCTGTGGTACTGCCCCTCCCCACTCTATTAGTGCAAGTACACCTCCCTCAGGGAGCTATTCAGTCAACAAGCCTGGAGGTGCTATCCTGGAATGATGGCCCCAAGGTCTCAATCCCACTTGGAGGGACACAGCTCCACAGACGCGAGGTCTCCCTGTCTCTCCATCTCTCAAGTTTTCTATAGCAACTAAAATCTCAGTGTTGGTTGGGTACGGTGGCTCATGCCTGTAATCCCAGCACTTTGGGAGGCTGAGGTGGGCAGATCATGAGGTCAGGAGTTCAAGACCAGCCTGGCCAACGTGGTGAAACCCTGTCTCTACTGAAAATACAAAAACTAGCTGGGCGTGGTGGCATGCGCCTGTAATCCCAGCTACTCGGGAGGCTGAGGCAGGAGAACCACTTGAACCTGGGAGGCAGAGGTTGCAGTGAGCCGAGATCGTGCCACTGCACTCCAGCCTGGGCAAAAGAGCGAGATTGTCTAAAAAAATAAAAATAAAAATTTCATTGTTTTTTAGAGCAGGGCCTTCCCAGGGGTACCAGCATCAGTGGGCCAGGGTACAAATGTGCCAAGCTGAACTAGGCCTTCCAAATAGGGAAGCAAGAGAAATGCAGGCACCCTTGGGTGGGTGGGAAGTCAATGAGCTCAGCTGAGACCCCAAACAGGGGCAGGCCTGAATCATAACAGAATCGGAACACTGGCTGCTGCTTTCAGCCTATATGTCCAGTGATTTCAGTGGCTTATCCTTTTTTTTTTTTTTTCTTGGAGACAGATTCTCGATCTGTCGCTCAGGGCTGGAGGCAGTGGCGTGATCTCAGCTCACTGAAAACTCCGCCTCCTAGGTTCAAGCAATTCTTCTGCCTCAGCCTCCTGAGTAGCTGGGACTCCAGGCATGCGCAGCCATGCCTGGCTAATTTTTGTATTTTTAGTAGAGACAAAGTTTCACTGTGTTGGCCAGGATGGTCTTCATCTCCTGACCTCGTGATCTGCCTGTTTCAGCCTTCCAAAGTGCTAGGATTACAGGCTTGAGCCACCGCACCTGGTCTCAGTGGCTTATTTTTATTTTATTTATTTATTTCATATCAGTGATCTCCGTACGTTAAGACTAAATTACTTAATTCTCTCAAAAGCCAGTAAGGTAAATATTATCAGATGAAACTGGGGTTAAAGAAATTAAGTCACATACCCAGACTCTTAAAACTCTCAAGACAGAACCAGGGATTTGAACCCAGGCTATCTGAAGCCATACCCAGCCTCAAAATAATTATGTTCCTAAGGTTTCCCTGAGTCTGGCAAGAAAGAAAAATTTTAGGGGGCCAGGTTTGTTGGCTCACACCTGTAATCTTAGCACCTAGGGAGGACAAGGAGGGAGGATTGCTTGAGCCCAGGAGTTCCAGACCAGCCTGGGCAACATGGAGAGATTTTTTTTTTTTTTTTTTGGGGCAGAAAGCTATTTGATTGGAGGAAGAATTTTGATTCTAGAAAGTAACAAAGCAGTGTCTGGTAAAATTGAAAACACACCTCACTAGTCCACAAAACCACTCTGGGTGGACTCCCTAGAAATATAGTTGTACAGTACTTCCATATCCAGAGTAACTGAATTATAAAACAAACAAACAAACAAAAAAAAAAAAAAAGAAAGAAATACAGTTGTACAAAAAGCTTCCCATCTCAGAGTTGCTCCCAATGGTGGGAAGTGACATTAAATGAAACTGGAATCCACCAGCAGGGAGTGGTAAGGAAAACACGTTTCTGAGATCTACTTCAGAAACATATTGGGTGAAAAACACAATTTACATTAAAAAGCAAAACATGATAACGGATGCCAACAGTTTATGTAAATTAGAAAATCCAGAACTAAGGGCTGGGCGCGGTGGCTCATGCCTGTAATCCCAGCACTTTGGGAGGCTGAAGCGGGTGGATCTTGAGGTCAAGAGAATGAGACCATCCTGGCCAAAATGGTGCAACCCCGCCTCTACTAAAAATACAAAAATTAGCTAAGAGTGGTGGCACATGCCTGTAGTTCCAGCTACTCGAGAGGCTGAGGCAGCAGAATCATTTGAACCCGGGAGGCGGAGGTTGCAGTCAGCTGAGATTGCTCCACTGTACTCCAGGCTGGCGACAGAGCGAGACTTTGTCTCCAAAAGAAAAAAGAAAAAAAAAGGAAACAAGACAAAATGTTGTGTTAAAACTACTTAGTGAGAATGAGTGTTATTTTTGTATTTGTTTGCATTTTTCCAAAATAAATCTAAAAAAGAAAGCTTTTAATAAAAAAATTAAAACATATAGAAAGGTAAACAGTATATTCCTGGCCGGGCGCAGTGGCCCACGCCTGTAATCCCAGCACTTTGGGAGGCCAAGGTGGGCGGATCACCTGAGGTCAGGAGTTCAAGACCAGCCTGACCAACATGGAGAAACCCCATCTCTACCAAAACAAAACAAACAAAAAAACCCAGTACGTTCCCCTAATATACCCAATACCAAGCTTCATGAATGATGAACATTCTGCCTTAATTGTCATACCTCTAGCCACTCTCTACAAAATTTTTGAGGTAAAATTTATATACGTTAAAATGCCCAATTCTTAATTAGTTTGACATTTTGATATTGCCACATAACCCACACCTAACACAACAAGTGTCCTTTGTGTGTGTGTTTTTTTCTTTTTTGAGACAAGGGTCTCGCTTCCCTGCCCAGGCTGGAGTGCAGCTGCTGGCACTCACTGATCAAAGCTGACATCAGTCTGGAACTCCCAGGCTCAAGGATTCTCCCGCCTTGGCCTCCCAAGTAGCTAAGATCACAGGGATGCGCCACCACACCCAACGAATTTTTTTTTTAAAATTTTGTGTAGAGACTGGGTCTCACAATGTTGCCTAGGCTGGTCTCCACCTCCCAGGCTCAATTGATCCTCCCACCTTAGCATCCCAAGTAGGAGGAGGGGCATGCTACTACTTTCGGCTACTTTTTTTTTTTGAGACAGAGTCTCACTCTTGTTACCCAGGCTGGAGTGCAATGGCGCGATCTCGGCTCACCGCAACCTCCGCCTCCTGGGTTCAGGCAATTCTCCTGCCTCAGCCTCCTGAGTAGCTGGGATTACAGGCACGCACCACCATGCCCAGCTAATTTTTTGTAGTTTTAGTAGAGACGGGGTTTCACCGTGTTGACCAGGATGGTCTCGATCTCTTGACCTCGTGATCCACCCGCCTCGGCCTCCCAAAGTGCTGGGATTACAGGCGTGAGCCACCGCGCCCGGCCAAAATAAAGTTTATGTAGCCTGCCTTGCCCTTCACTTCCATGGGTTCTGCCTTCGCAGATTCAACTAACCACATAAAAAAATGCTGGGAGACAAAAAGGATGGTTGCATGTGTACCGAACTTGAACAGACTTTTTT